GATAGATTACAACCAACAGAGATTACAATTAGCATTAGAATAATAGTAGAGTAAGAAAAGTGAAATTAGCTTCTAAATTGAGACTCAGCTCGTTTTTGTCTGTGTTTTGACTGAATCTGTTGTTCTTGTGTGTCCAATAGTGTTTGTTTTTTATTTTTGTTTGTTTTTATTTTTGTTTGTTTTTTTGTTTATTTATTTACTTTATTTTTGTTTTGTTTTTCCCCAGGATAGAGGATAAAATCCACTGATATTGATTTGATTATTATAAGTTTAATGCATACATTTTCTTTGTTTTTAATAATTGTTTAAAGTTTTTTTTTTTAGAATTGTTTTTTTTTTTTTTTTTCACTTTATTGATTGATCAAATTGAGTGATCACATGTGATTATGTGATCAAAGGGGTGAGTGTTAGTATTAGATAGCAATATGGCCTACGTGCAGGACTGTACAAGGACTCTGATTATTTTGACTATGATGTGACTGTCTCTGTGTGACACGTACGTCTTTCGATGTGTGACGTGACAATGACTATATAAACTGTGTACTGACTCCATTCTGTCTGAGGGAAGGAAACAAAGGAAACCACTGGAACTTGAGAGAAACTTAAATAAACTTCCAGAGTTTGGCGCACCACGATCCGTCTCTGTCTGCTTCATCCCTGACAGAACTAAAGCGCTAAACTTTCCAGATAAAAATGGATTCAACATAAATGTGCAATATGCAACTATAAAAAGCTGCTCAATGTTCACATTAAACATTCCAACACTGTATTATACATTATAAATTTATTGAATATAAATGTACTTATATTAACTGTGTTTGAATAAAAAAACACTTACAACAAACAAAACACGCTGCATGAAAATGTAAATAAATAATATTACCGTAGCTTTAACTGGATTTCAGATATGTATTTGGCGACGGCATGTACCTGGGTTCCAAATGGTCTATGCGGCTGCGAGCCCAAACTGATGAACTCCTACACTTTCGGGTTGTTGCTGAAAAGCTTTTTGTGACGCTGCGTCAGTGTCTTCTGTGTCTCGTTGTTTTCACGTAATCTCCTTTCGATGCAAAAACTCCCCATGCTGTTTCTCGTGGTGCTTAGTCGTGTTGTATTTCGCTAGTTTACCGCCGCGTGAACAACGCTGATTCTTTCTTGCGCTCCATGCTGGTGTTGTTGTTGTAGAGCGCCACGAGGAAGTGACGTGTACGTGAGATCTGATAAATTACTTTTAATTCATTCATTTTATACATATATGTACATTATGCACAATGTATTTTAAGACATTGTGCGGTACCCGGTATGTATTAAAAAATATATATAATTTAAAAAAAAAAAGAAAAGAAAATGGATCGGCAGCACGGCGCCTCTCTCTACGCAGATATCCGATCCAGTATTTTTTCTGGTATCGGCGCCGATATCGATACCAGTATCGGATCGGTGCATCCCTACTACATATGCATACAAAACAGTCTAAATAATCATACTTCAAAGTGCATTTAAAGTATCTATCTAAGTATCAGTGCCTACTGAATGCATACCGTTTACGCTTCACAGCACGTCTGCAACAACAACAACAACAAAAACTCCCTCCAGAGACCTCCGGGACCAAAAGCCGGACCACACGTGTTTACTTTACCAACAAAGGAACTATACTAAAAGCCATCTTCACACAGTAAGACTGTAACACTCAGCCCCTCGGAGCGCGCACTACCAAATACATCGAGGTAACTGTGACGCTTTATACCTGCTGTGATTGACCTAACGCTGACCAAAGAAAGACAACCACTCATGAATCTGCTGTGTGTAACGTGTACTCCATTTACTCAGTCCAAAACAAGCAATAATCATAAACAATATGAAAGACTTAGTCCTACCCGCGCCCACCGTATGTCCCACTGTCAAACCTGGTGACGAGTACGTGGCTCCGGTGATAGTCAGTGTAGTTCAAAAGGCAAATCCAAGAGATGACAAAACGATGTAGGTAATCCAAACAGAACGAGAAAGTAATCCAACTGGGAAAGTAATCCAAAACGTTCAGAGTGTGGACAGAGCGCAGTGAGTGAGAGCGCTCTCCCTCTCCAGCGTATAAAGTTTATAAACAAAACGCGCACAGGCCGTGCGTGAGCGGCAACCGGGCTCTCCTGGCGGGTCCGTCTCGAGGGTCTGTACAGTCCGCTACAATAATCCCTTCACAGATCTCCGACTCAAGTCTCTCGTGGTCTCCTCGAGCCGTGTCCAAAACCAAAAAACCCCCTGTCTCCCTCTCGCGCACCTGATGGCAGGTCTCTGATGAGCGCTCCCTCCCGGGACACGCCCCCCCAGTTCATTCACAAAACAGACCTGTCCCATTAGGCCCAAAACATAAACAAATATACCTAAACACACATTAACACATTTTAAACATTTGTGGCTATGCTACAGAGTCCCCCCCTCCAGCCAGAGGCTACTAGTTGACCATATAACACATTTTAAGATTCACCACATTGACCACGTCCTGCCTACTGGGCAACTCCTCCCATTTGACCAGATAGTTCACAGGCCCCAACTTCCTGACTATGGAGGCTGGCCCGTCCCATCTCGGAGCTAACTTGGCAGAGAACTTCTCACTAGCCTTGGAGAGTGGATGCGCCCGAACCCAGACTTTGTCACCTGCCTCAAACTGCACCTCTTTCCTTCGAGAGTTGTAGTATTTAGCCTGGCGAACCTGGTGTACCCCCATCCTTTTCCTTACCTCTTCCCCTAGTTTTTGTTGTCGCTCAACCGCATCATAAGAGTCTTTTTGCTCAGGGCTGGGTGGTTTGTGAATGAGTCTTTGTAACGGACCATGAAGCAGCCGACCCAGAGCCAGCTCTGCCGGAGTCCTGCCAGTAGTTTCTTGCTGAGCAGTGTTGATAGCGAAACGAATCTCTGGTAGCCACTGGTCCCACATCTCATGGGAGGGCCCTACGAAGGATGCGATCATGGTTTTGATGGTCCGATTGAACCGTTCAGTGAGGTTAGTTTGAGGGTGGTAACTGGTGGTGAGTTTCTGTATCACCCCCCATGCTTTGCAGAGGTCAGTCAAGAGGCCAGCAGTAAATTGTGGACCTCGGTCCGAGACGAGAAATTTGGGAACCCCCCAACGAGTGAAGATCTCCTCTCGCAGGATCTTAATGATACGGGGAGTTTTGCTATCCCGTAGTGGGAATACCTCCACCCATTTTGAATAGTAATCAACCACCACCACCAGGTAACAGTTTCCCTTTTTTGCTTCGGGGAAATGGGCCCATCAGGTCGATGCCCAGCATCTCTCCTGGAGCAGTCACCTGTGTGGACTGGAGAAATCCATGCGGTTTGGTGTTCTCTGGTTTATAACGCTGGCAGCTCTCACAGGACTTTGTGTGTTCCCATACATCTTTGCGTACAGTAGGCCACCAGGCAACCTCCAACACCCTCAGTAGGGTCTTCAGCCGTCCTAGATGCCCACCTAGAGGGTTATCATGGAAATACTGGAGGAACTCTGGGGCTAGGACTTGAGGGACGACAAGCTGGTACTTTTCTCCACCGTCTATTGGAACCTGGCGATAGATCACACCTTGGTGGTTAACAAAAGTGATCCGGTTGGGTTTGGCCTGTCCTGCTTTATTGAGTGTCAGGTCATGGATAAACGGGTCTTGTGTCTGTGCTTTGGCAATCTCGTCTAAGGTGGTTGGCAGGTTTTTGCTGTGTTTCCATCCAGCGAGTGCTAAACAGTGAGTGTTCTGGGATTGTTTCTCACAGGATCGTGACAGTGCGTCTGGTGCAGTGTTGAGGCACCCTTTTCGATAGTGCACTCTGAAGGTGAACTGTTGCAATCGCAGGATCCAGCGTGTCAGACGGGAAGAAGTTTTTGGGCAATTGAAAGCCCAGGCCAGAGCAGCATGGTCAGTGAAGACATCGAAATGGATGCCCTCCAGATAGTGCCTCCACTTCTCTATGGCCCATACCACGGCCAGGCACTCCTTCTCTGATGTAGAATAGTTCTTTTCAGGGCCTCGAAGCATCCGTGAAGCATAGGCTACCACCCTCTCTCCCTCAGGAAAGGGCTGTGAGAGTATGGCTCCCAGCCCAGCCTCACTGGCATCCGTGTGAACTTGGAATGGCAGATTTTGGTTTGGTTGTGCCAGAACAGGTGGGTTGTTAGAGCCAGCTTGAGGGCCGTGAAACTGGCTTGGCATTCAGAAGTCCATTTCCATTCCACCCCCTTCTTCTTGAGATGGTTCAATGGGGCGGCCATGTCCGCGAAGCCCAGAATGAATTTGTGGTACCAGCCCGCGAGCCCCAGAAAACGCTGCAGTTCTTTAATGTCCTGTGGCACGGGGAACTCTGACACTGCTTTGGTTTTGGATGGATCCACCTCCACACCCCGAGAGGACACGATATGTCCCAAGAACTTTAGTTCTCTCTTGAAGAACTGACACTTCTTCATGTTCAGGCTGAGATTGGCTTCCTGTAGCTTTTGGAAGACAGAGTTCAGGTCTCTAGAATGTTGTTCACGGGACGTAGAGTATACAATGATATCGTCAATGTAAACAAAGCACATCCTGCCTCTCAGCTCTCCCAACACTTTCTCCATCAATCTTTGAAAGGTGGCTGCCGCGTTCCGCAAACCGAAGGGCATGCGTTTGAACTGGAAGAGTCCCAGAGTCGTGATGAAAGCTGTCTTTTGTTTGCTGTTTTCATCCATGGCTATCTGCCAATACCCCGACTGTAGGTCCAAGGCGCTGAACCATGTCGCACCCTCTAGTGACTCGAGGATCTCATGGATGATTGGCATGGGGTAAGCGTCTGGGAGGGTTTTAGCATTAACCTTGCGAAAGTCTATACAGAATCGCTCCCGGCCATCAGGACGATCGACCATGACCACGGGTGAGGACCAAGATGACTGAGACGGCTCTATGATGTCCTCGTCCAGCATTTTCTCGACATGCTCTTCAATTATTCTCTTTTTGAGGGGAGATACCCTGTAAGCTCGAGATTTAACTGGCACCTCGTCCTGGGTGTAAATTGTGTGTTTTTCCACTGTGGTCTTGCCGAGCACACTGGAAGTCACTGTGGGCCAGGCCATTAATGAGTTGAGAAAGTTCATTGGGCTGGTCGACAGAGACAGAGTTCATCATGAGCGGATACGAGGTCCAGCATGGCAGGAATCTGCCCGGTTGGGGTGCGTAATATAAATGCACCCTCGGAACAGTTCTCGTCCATGGACCCGGTCTTGTGGGCGGCAGAAGGAAGGGATGGAAAACATAACCATTTGCTGTTTGTAATCCATAAACGCGTTTAGCCAGGTCTAGGATAACCCCAGCATCAGTCAGAAAATCCAGTCCGATTATCATGGGAAAAGCGAGATGTCTGTCGTCCATAACATGCGCCTCGACACTCAGCTTTCGACCATGCCAGTCCAGTCCGAAGCGTTGTTTTCCCAGGGCAACATGCGCGGTTCCATCCGCCATGACAAACCTCTGGTCCTCTGATGGAATCAAGTCTCTTGAGGTGCCATGGAGGTTCCTCCATAGACCCTCTCGCATGAGCGTGTAGGTACTTCCGGTATCCACCACAGCTACTCCCTGGACATTGCATATGGTAAGAGGAACCAACAGCAGCTCTGCTCTCGGCATTTGGGGCGGTGGAGGTTGGGTGACAACTGCATTGAATTTATTCCCGCCTCTTTTTTCTAGGGCCCTTTTCCCAGTTCCCTCGGTGGAGGCATGCACTTTCTGCCAATAGCCTTTAGCGCTACCACAGTCTTTCTCCACCATGGACCCCACTTTCACCAGGTCTGTGACCGTATGGACAGTTCCTCTCAAACACCCCGCTACTTTTGGATTTGTGTTGTTAAGTATGCGTCTCACGATTTCTTCCTCGGGCATATCCGGTTTCCATTTGAGACACAGGGCCTGGTAATCATAAGCGAAGTCCCGCAGACGTTGGTCGGGCTGCTGCACCAGCTCCCTCAGCTTTTCCTCCACTTCCGCCATATAGTCCGTGGGAAGGAATGCGTTCAAAAATGTCTCTTTAAACATACTCCAATCAAGCACCTGGCCTTTTGCAGCTTTCCACCAGCTTAGCGCAGGTCCCCTCAACACGGAGGATAATGTCCCCATCAGTTCTGGTACCGAGAGTGGGCGTAACTCCAAAAAGTTCTCTGCTTGTTCCACAAAACTCAACACGTCCGCGGTTTCACAACTAGGTCCAAATGTGGGGAAATCCAAACGGACTGGAGGCTTGAAGTAGAACGGGGATACACCAGGCATACTAAAGGTGGCATTAAGGGGAGGGGGACCACCCATGTCAGTGGATACAGCAATGGTTCTCTGATTAATAGGGGTACTAGTGGGACGCAAAGTACTAATCTCTCTTTGCCACTTCTCATCCCTCCTCTTTAAACAGCTAACCATGTTCTTCTCTAACACCTCTATCTTGTCCTGGAATTCCTGTTCCATTTTTGCCAAAGCCCTTTCAACACTCTCCCTAAAGGATGCTTCTCTGTTGAGAGAACTAGACACAGACTCTCTGTGAGTAGTCTCCAGAGCTCCTAGGTGACATTCCAAAACCCTCATTCTGTTCTGCATACTGTCCCAGTCAGTTTGGGAAATGTCCACTCTATTCTCCCTCTGCACCACTACAGGAGTAAGAGGCTCCAACAGCCCTCTCCCAAGAGCTCCCAAAGCCTCCTCCCCATTCTGACTAGTATGGTCGGAATTTTCCTCATTAACTCTGTCCTGTGAGTGAGCCCGTTCTATTCTGTCATCTCCATTCAGACTGACGTCTCCATCCTGAAGATACAGCGAGTCTAACAGTGACTCGATATCCCCCGTAGGATTTCTGCGAGCTACGAACGGCCCTGCGGTAAAGTCTGGGTTGTCCTGATCTGCGCTCTCCTGATCCCCCATGTCAACGTAACACACCCACACACACACCCGAGTGGGATATAAAAAAAAACAAGCGTTTACAAATGTACAAATCACAGACACAATCACATGTCCTCGTACGGGCCACCATATGTAACACTCAGCCCCTCGGAGCGCGCACTACCAAATACATCGAGGTAACTGTGACGCTTTATACCTGCTGTGATTGACCTAACGCTGACCAAAGAAAGACAACCACTCATGAATCTGCTGTGTGTAACGTGTACTCCATTTACTCAGTCCAAAACAAGCAATAATCATAAACAATATGAAAGACTTAGTCCTACCCGCGCCCACCGTATGTCCCACTGTCAAACCTGGTGACGAGTACGTGGCTCCGGTGATAGTCAGTGTAGTTCAAAAGGCAAATCCAAGAGATGACAAAACGATGTAGGTAATCCAAACAGAACGAGAAAGTAATCCAACTGGGAAAGTAATCCAAAACGTTCAGAGTGTGGGCAGAGCGCAGTGAGTGAGAGCGCTCTCCCTCTCCAGCGTATAAAGTTTATAAACAAAACGCGCACAGGCCGTGCGTGAGCGGCAACCGGGCTCTCCTGGCGGGTCCGTCTCGAGGGTCTGTACAGTCCGCTACAATAATCCCTTCACAGATCTCCGACTCAAGTCTCTCGTGGTCTCCTCGAGCCGTGTCCAAAACCAAAAACCCCCCTGTCTCCCTCTCGCGCACCTGATGGCAGGTCTCTGATGAGCGCTCCCTCCCGGGACACGCCCCCCCAGTTCATTCACAAAACAGACCTGTCCCATTAGGCCCAAAACATAAACAAATATACCTAAACACACATTAACACATTTTAAACATTTGTGGCTATGCTACAAGACGTATCGTTGAATGCCAATGTGTGTAAATGTGTCTGATTTTGGTTATGGTGTACATTTCTTTGATTCGTGACTCACACTCAAAGATTCTTATGCTTTATTGAGGTTTTCGTTCTGTAAATAAACAGATAGAATTACTATCAGCCTCCGGTGTTATTAGTTAGTAGTTTGGAGAATGAACTCTCTGGCAAATAGAACGCACACTTTTAGATTTATGAGACAGATTTAAACCACTTATTCTTTAGTTAGCTCTTAAGACTTCTCTTTCCCCTCTCTCAGAATAAGCACACCCCTATGAAAGGTATGTTAGTATTAGATAGCAATATGGCCTACGTGCAGGACTGTACAAGGACTCTACAAGGACTCCATGTTATGACTATGATTTGACTGTCTCTTTGTGACACGTATGTCTTTCGATGTGTGACGTGACAATGACTATATAAACTGTGTACTGCCTTTATTCTGTCTGAGAGAAAGAAACAAAGTAAACGAGTGGAACTTGAGAGAAACTTAAATAAACTTCCAGAGTTTGGCGCACCACGATCCGTCTCTGTCTGCTGAATCCTAACAGATTTGGTGGAGAATGCGCGGCTCAGTGTGTGCCATTCTCTGGATTGTTTTGAGGGAGTTTTCTTTGTTTCTTTTTCTCGGCGTGGGAGAGCTGAGAGTGTCTGGGGCCTGGGAGCGGTCCAGCAGGCTGGAGAGGCGACCGGCTCCGGGACTCTTTTTCGCTCTCTCACTATATTTTTTTTGTGTCCTCTTTTTTGGACTGAGCGTTTAAAATTGTTTTCCCATGTCCACATTCCGGGGATTTTTGACGTGCGGTTGGTCTCTGCTGATGGAAACTAGTTCCCGGTACTAGTGAGCGCTGGTTCATGATCTGGAGACCTGGTTGGACGTGGAAAAGCTGATATTTGGTGGACTTCTGACGGTGCCTGGCGCCCTGTTCGACAAAAGGTAAGAGCGGACACCTGTTTATTCAAAGTTTGCTAATTGAGTGAACTAAATTATGGTCTGTTTTGAGGTCTGCCAAATGTCATGTATCTATAGATCAGATTAGATTAAAAACGGGTTCGCTACCTGACGGGGTTAGAGTCCCTTTGAGAAGAAGTCTCGGGGTTAGAGTCCCTTTGAGAAGAAGTCTCGGGGTTAGAGTCCCTTTGAGAAGAAGTCTCGGGGTTAGAGTCCCTTTGAGAAGAAGTCTCGGGGTTAGAGTCCCTTTGAGAAGAAGCTTCAGGGTTAGAGTCCCTTTGAGAAAACGTTTTCGGGGTTAGAGTCCCTTTGAGAAAAGATAGAGAAGAATAGTTAGTGAAACCATGGTGTAAAATTAAAAGCAATTTTTAAAAAGGGAAACGTGTTAAGGAGGCCTTTTGTCACAAAAAGTTTTGTAATTAACCAATTCCAAGCTTGATAAATGACAAAAGTAAAGAAGCAACCATATTTCAGTGATCACGGTTTAAATTACATACAGAAAAAGGGAGTTTTTGTTTTTGGCGTGAACAGAGTTCACCGGAGAATGCAGAGTTTTATCTAAAGTTGAGCTATGAGAGCTTTCGTGAGTTATTAACATTTTTTGCCGAGTTTTATCTACAGTTAAGCTATGAGAGGGTTGTATCCAACAGTTGTTTTTGTTTTTTAGAAAGAGATTTTGAGTTTAAACTAGTTTGCTACCCCGATAAAATAGAAGCGTAAACGTTAAAGACAAGAGTGCCTTTTGTTACAAGTGTTGAAAGTGATCACTTCTAGACTTGGATGACAAAAGTATAAACTACAAGTTATATTCGCTTAACAAAGTAATCTTGAAAGCATTTTTGCTAAAACACTACTTTCTGCCTGTGTGTGCGTCGCACTATCTTGCTGCCGTTGTCAGGGAAACGGCCCCCTCCTTCGCTGCTCTGACTCTGAATCAGAGCAAAGCTACAGCTTTATGATTTTGGCTTTTCATAGTTGTTATTCTGTTAAATTTGCGAAATTTGCCATTTGAACATTGTGTTATGACACAGTTAAACGTTTTTAAACACCATTAGTGAATAAGTTTTGAATTAGTATGTTTTTGAAACCCAAAGATTAGTGCTAAAAGCTGTGCAATTCTTTTTAGACCTAACATATTTCTAGATTCCATTCTTTTAAATCTGCTGCTTATTTCTTAACTTTTTGTGAGGTGTGTTTGTTTTTATGTTTTTATTTTAGTTACTGTGAAAAAACTAATCACATTTCAACAACATAATCTCTTTAATACATGTTGTCAGCCGCTGGTTCAAAACTACAGGTTATCTGGACATCAGCACAAACAGACAAGTTACAGACTACAGTCTAGTCTGGGTCTCTGCTAGATGGAAAGCAGCAGAGTGACAAAGAAATGGACAAAGAACTCTGGTCTTATACCATGATAATTGAAGACATATGTCCCAACATCCTTAGGTGAAGACAATACTTCTCTGTTCAGGACACACAGTAGCCCCTCTCAAAGTAAGCCTGAGGCTACTCTAAACATATGTTCTCTGCGTTCTTGCCTTAATTTAACTTCCTGTGTTTAATGGCTGGGGGATGGGAGAATGCTGCTGATGCGTCCATCACACACGTAGCTTAACCCAAAGCTGTCTAAACTTTTAATATATTCTAATTCACTTTAATGAAAATCCAACAACTCTACTAACAGTTACAAAAGCCATTTTTCAAACATTTAAATTAGAATCTGTGTTAAAAGTGATTATTGATTATAGACTTCGTCTAAAAAGAAAGAGGGAATTAGGATTAGCTGTAAAAGTATTATATTATTAAGTTAAACTACCCAATTCACATTCAAGTGGTGACTTTTGTTTTTGTTTTGACTACACGCCTGACCTTCCTCCTGCTGCTGATGCACACAGCAGAGGAGACTGGCTCTAAAATGTGCTCCAATTCATATTGACTTAATTTGAAAATGCTGCAATTATTTTAAATTAGTAAAATATATGTTGAGATAAATGTTCAAGATAATTAAACACACAGTACAAAAGTACATAATACATATTTTAAAGTTTGAAGGTTTTTTTAGATTTGAGTCTTGTTTTTTTTATTAAGAGAGTTTCTGGTCTTAAAAGTGTCATCATTAGTAAGATAATAAGTAATCTTTATTTACATAGCGCTTGGAAAGCCAAGAGCGCTCCAAAATTGTTTAGACTTTAGAGAGAAAAAAACAATCTCATTCACAATCTCTGTTGTTTTTAATTTGACTATAAGGTTGTGTTCCAGAACCAAGGGCACACACTGTACAGGGCCACTGGACAGCAGGAGTGGACACTGGACAGCAAAGCCCACCCAGCCACAGGTCACAGATCAAAGAGCAAAGGAAAATGCCACCTCCTTGCCCCTCCCCACGCCACTCCAGAAGTGAGTGGGTGTGAGAGAGACCGGGGTAGAGAGAGGTATCTGGAGACGTGATGGGTGGAGCGTCAGGGAGAGACCTGAATGAGAGTTGAGAGTGTGTCCAGTTGGTTTGCATCACCACAGTGTGACCTTTGAGACCTACAGGTGGTTTGAGGAGTCTGGAGACACAACCCCAAAATTCACACCACACATACACACACACACATTCACGCACTCACACATTCACATTTACATATAGATACATGAAAAAGCAGAGCATGAGAAAAAAGCATTTTAAAAGTTTATTCCAATGTAAACAAATATTTGTAATTGTCTAACTTGAATCAGTATTTTTTGAGACCAAAAATGTTCATTTGAATTCTATATTGTCATGGACTTAATTGACCTCTGTCCTGACATTTTTTATGTTTTGATTTTGTACTGTGTGATGTAATTACATTGATGAGGATTAGATCTGATAAAAACACAAATTAGAGAAGTAAACTGAATCATTGCGCTTGCTTTTGTCTGAGGGACATTAGCAACAGCATGAATAGAAATTGTCTTTAAAGTAGAATCAAAGTGACTAACCATAGAGAGTAACTATTGCATAACAAGCTGTGTACAGGAACTGTAACACTGCACCATTGACCAGAAGTGCATCGCAAATGACCTGATGTGCGACCCAAGTGAAAAGACTGTATCTGGAGATCCTGATGTGCATCTGGAGAGACCAAAACCATGGCTTGGACCCTACTGATGTCCAAGATGACATCTCTCGAAATATGACCTGACCTGAT